CTGGACAAGGTGATGAACGAGGGCATTGCCTTTATCATTGACCGCTTCAAGAATGAGATCCCCAAGTGTCCCGTGGGTCAGCGCCCCGTGATGATTGGCCAGAGGAAGCGTGCCTACGATACCCTGGACAAAGTGATGAAGAGACTGGATTTGATTATGAATACCATATCACACATGAGATTTATTGTGATCGGTATACATTAAAAACAAATGATTTGATCTATAGAACAGTGTTTTTATTGGCGTTTGAATAAAGCTTCTAGGGTGGGATAGAGGACCTGGTCTTCTTCTCGGGTGCCTACAATAGCCGTCTTGTCTTGGAGGGTGGGTAGAGCGATGTGTGTCTCGGTCATGCCTTCACAGGGTTGATATTGACCTAGGGTGGGATTCCACCAAGACCATTGTTCCTTATCCACATCAAATACATAGAGGGGTTTGCCTAAAAGCTGGGCCATGACCACACTCCATCCTGTGCCACCCAACAGATGCTTGCCACATTCGTCAAAATGGCCCAAGGCGAGTACGAGGGACGCAGGCTGGATCACGTGATAATTGCGTTGGATATACTGGAGGCTGATGGGATGATGGATTTGTCGACCCAATCGAAATGCCACCTGGGTGACCATCGAGGTGGCGGCATCCAACTCGGACTGGGTCAAGGGCGTGAGGGACTTGGATCGAGGGTGACAGGGTGGGATAAAGACCACACACGTATGACCATACAAGTGACATAATCGCTCCACATGCGTGTCCACGCCTTTAGCACCTCCTGTGTAAATGAGCATGTTCTGAAAAAAATGAAAAAAATCAGTGTTTATGATGAGGGATGGGAGTCCAAGCCCACATGGTATGCGGTTCATCATCGGCGTACATCAGGGGCACATCCCATTCCCGCTGGGTCACGGTTTGTTCAAAAACATGTAAGACGCTACGACAATCACTGCAATTATCCGGGATCCAATCCAGTCCTTGACCGTTGGCAAACGCCTGGTCTTTGGCTTTGGTACAATAGTTGCATAACAGATAGTCTAATAACCGATCACACCGTTTTTGCCACAACACGCGTTGGGCGTTGACTTGTGAAAGGGTGGGTAGGACATGGGTCTGGCGACGTAACCATCCACTCATTTGACAGACCCGCACGTGGGCGCAATGATCGTGCCAGACCCCACTCCCACGTTCCTGGTGGGAATGATCCATGCACCAATTGCGTCCATGATCGTTGTGAGCCATGACATTGGCGGTGGCAATGGGGAGATTGGCCAAGTCTGGGCAGCCCTGCCCTTCTAGGACCACGAGGGGGTAGGAAAACTGGGGCTCATGGAACAGTCGGTACAGCCCATTGAGCGTGAACACCCCCAATCGTCCCCGCTGGGGGGTGAGATACTGTTGACACCAACGGGTGATATCGTCTCGCATCTGATGGTAGGGATGAAAGTCTTGGCGATTGTAAGCTGTGTATGGTTCGAAGGGCAATCCATGCACTGTCTTGGTCTGACGATCGACGCGCGTTTGGGCCTCCTCGGATAATTGATGGTACGACACGCCTGGGGGTAACAGGTATTTGAACAATCCATGATGATGCCCCGTCCAATCGCAAAAAGCCAGTTCTCGAATAATAGTCTCGTCTCGGGAGAGGGCAAACCCCTGACTGAACACCAAGAGACCCACTTCATGGAGCGTCATGCTTACCGTTTCAATGGGGTGGCGACGAATGAGAGGGGTCGTTGACCCATCACTGGTTTTATAGCCACTGGGGTGGTTTCTGATTGGTGGACTCACGGATCACACCACTCTCACGAGAGTACAGGTGGAGTCCGGATTGGTGGAGACCAAGATCGTATGAGCATCACGTGTGGCATCACGAGAGGCAAGAGGAGGGGCTATAAAAGGCAGGCAAGACGCTCCCTTGGAGTCATTCTTCAGTCGAGGGATGGATCGTCAAGCCACTCAACCTGCGGCGGTGCCTTCGGGACGCAAACGACGTCGAGTGAGTAGCAAGAAACCCAAGGAAGAAGCGCCAGCCCTAGACATGAAAGCCGCCAGTGAACTAGAGATGAAAGCCACCCGTGATCTGGAGATGACTCAGATCGGTTTGTCCCGAGCTGAAGCCGAAGCCCTAGAGAAGAAAGTCCTTCAAGACCCTACCAGTGAACTTTCAGTGGCTCTGAGGGCCCTATCCCGAGCGGAGGACCCACCCCCTACACCCTCCCCCACAGACCAATCCGTGAACGATTTGATGGAGGGCACCTTGAAAGACTATGAAGAAGAATGTGTCGAGGAAGGGACGTTTCATTCGGATCCAGCAACGGAAGTGGGGGAATGGGAAATCCTGGACCAGATGGACACCCAGTTCAACCAACTCCTGTATGAAGCATGCCCGTTTCATCCCCATCGATTCCTTGAATGCGTCAACCCCCAATCCAATTTTGGTCCATTGAGGTTCAAGTGTCCCCAAGAAAAGTGTCCGGTCTACTTGTTTGAAGACACGCGGGAGGTGATGATGGAGAAATTGAAAGAAGACACGCATCCTCAAGTCCATGCCCGAGTGAAACGCGGAGAACTCAAGTGCCGATGTGGGTTTGTTCCCAAGATGAAATTGAGTCGTACGGCCAAGAATTACAACAAAGTGTTTTTCAGTTGTGGGAGCTTTCTCATGCATGCCAAACCCTGTGGCTACTTTCAATGGCTCCATGGTCCCCTGTGGTGTCCCCGAGAGCAAGCGCAACCGACCCTGAGACGATGGGTCAAGGAGTCTCTGCCCGTCCCTCTTCTGAAAGGAAAAGACCCCGAGAAGGAGAGACCCCGACCCTGGGGGATGCACGTTTTAGAGAGGTCAGACTCAGAGATAGAAAAGATGAGGCGTAGTCCGTGGATGAATCAGTTTGGCGAATCTGTCAAAGCCCAGGAGAGAGCGTTTGAGACAAGGCGCCATTTGCATGGGAACTTTGGGAGCGGGATCTTGTTTTGAAAAAAAATTCATGTAAGGTGTGTGAAAAAAACTATTAAAGACAGAAATTGGCTCGGATCATGTGTCAGTGTCTTGATGTCGTTGCCACGCGCTTACGAAGATCCCCAAGAACCTGGGGCCTTGGGTGGGGTCCAACCCTTTGCCCAAGCCCATAAATTGAAAACCCCGCAAGCGCAACAGATTCTTCAATCCGTGTTGAGCTATACGCTCCACAAACCTCGACGGACGCGGTTTCCCACCACGCCCACATTGGTCTTTGACCGAGACGAACAATGGCAGATGGATTTAGTGGACATGCAAAAACTCAGTCGATGGAATCAGGGGAACAAATATTTGTTGACCGTGATCGACGTCCTGTCCAAGTATGCCTGGGCCGTGCCCATCAAATCCAAAAGCACGTCCGAGATGATCCGAGGGTTGACCCGCATTTACCGGCAAGCCTCGCCGCGACGACCCCTCCGCGTGCAAACGGATCAAGGCAAAGAATTTTACAATCGAGGGGTGCAAGCCTGGTTCAAGAAACAGGGGACGCATCATTTTTCCACGTATGGGGATAGCAAGGCTTCGGTGGTGGAACGATGGCATCGCACCTTGAAACAGCGCATGTACCGGTATTTCACCGCGCACAATACGTTACGGTACGTGGATGTGTTACAACCCTTGATTCATACGTACAATCACGCCTATCATCGCAGTATTGGGATGGCCCCGCACCAAGTCACCCCCCACACGGTACCCGAGGTGTGGGAGAGACTCTACGGGTCGCGTTTGCACCCCAAGATCCCCCCGCCCAAATGTCGCGTGGGCGATCGGGTGCGTCTCAACAAGAAACATCGTCCCTTCAAAAAAGGGTATTTACCGGGCTGGACGGAAGAAGTGTTTGTGGTCACGCACGTCCGTCGTCATCCCGTGGTCACCTATCGACTCAGTGAATGGGACGGCACACCTATAAAAGGCACGTTTTACGAACCCGATGTCCAAAAAGTCCAAGTGTCGGACGACTCGTTGTTTCGAGTCGAAAAAGTCTTGAAACGGAAAGGACGTCAGGTCTTGGTCCGGTGGAAAGGGTGGCCTGCCAAGTACGATAGTTGGATTCCCGCCCAACATGGTCCGCGTCAAAATAACGCCTCGAAAAAGAAAAAAGTGGGTGCGGTTTCTCGATGAAGTCCAGGCGGATTCCAGTCGACCGAGGGCCAGTTACACGCCACCCCCTACCACGGACGCGGACATTATGAACTTCATCCAGAAAAAAGCCGCTGAACAACGGCAAACCCAACCGTGGTGGGAAAAGTTGGCCAGCCCCACCAAACAGCAATGGGCCTACGCCAATGCCTACCATCGAGCCGAAGAGTATGCCAAGAAACGAGGTGCCCTACGGTCCCCACCCAAGACAAAACAACGTCGACGCGCCGGTCGTCATCCACCCATGCGCAAGAAGAAACCCCCTAAACAAAAGACCTGCATGACCCTGATGGAACTGGCCCGGGCTTTTCCCAACATTGCCCAGCAAGTGTGTTTTCATCCCAAACAATCGACCTTCAATTCGTTGGTGGGACGCGTCCCTCGCAGTAAACAGAAAGTGGACCAGTGGCTATAAAAGGACCCTGCACCCTCTCGGACGCGCCTCTTGTTCTTCATCATGAGTGAGATTAAACGCTTGACGCTCATAAGCGATCCGACCGACGAGTTTCCCAACAATGCCAACAACAGTTTCAAGGTCCGACTGCCCGAACGTCTTAGCTTACCAGGCGAGGGTTGGCATGCCTCCCTATTGTCTCTCACCGTGCCAGATCAAGGCCAGAGCAATGCCATCATTGCGGCGGACCCTCATACCAAAGTGATGAAATTCAAAATGTCGTATGTGGTCCTCAAGTTTCAGTCGGGCACCTATCGACGAATGGAAATCAAAACCGTGGACTGCGCCTTGGAATTGGAAGAGATCATGAATGCGAATCAAATCGTGGCGACAGGGAGTCAGTTTTGGAAACGCGTGATGCAAGAAGTGCACAATAAAATCATGCACAAATGAATGAATGAACAAATGCAGCGTTTGGTCCATGAGCCCGACGAAAGACCTATTGTCAGCGCCAAACAAAACGCCATGCCCCGACTGATCTGGAAAAAGGGTGCCTTGGTGATTAAGGCCCTTCCCCAAACGGATTTGATTAAAGCGGACAAGAAAGCCATCACTGACCTTTTCATCAACCTGGACATTGCGCTCAAGTTTGGGTTGGTGGTCGAAAAGACCAGTCAAGGCAGGACCTGGTATCCATTGGGGCCCAATATGCAATACACGCTGCCTACCAAGACGTACGATTCGACCACCCAACCCGCCGGCAATCAGTTTCGCAGGGCCTACAACTGGGAAGGTGCGCAGTACATGGGTGTCAATCCCACCTTAATGTTTGGCGATATTGTAGCCAGTATTGAACATGATCCCATGCAAGTGGTGACCCAGGATGGTGTGAAGTTTTTGCAATTGTCCTTGATAGTGGAATGGCAGTTGAATAACCTGGATGCCTCGTTTGAAAAGATCGTGGAGACTCGCAAACGTACCGTCATGGTCTATTCGGATCTCGTCGAATCCACCGTGGTGAGCAGTGGCAAGTATCCCCTGTTACGGGAAGTGCAATTGTTGAGAACCGGCGATGGGGAAAGTACGGCAGAACCCTTGCACCACCAATGGATCAAAGTGCGAGGAAATCAACTAGAGATCTTGGAAGTGGAGATTGCCAGTACCAGTGGACCCCTGGCCATCTTACCCCCGGGCAAAACCCTGGTGACCATTGGTCTCAAACAACTATAAAAAGCCAACCACACCCGTTCAAGGGCCAAAAAACACTTGACTCAAGATGCGCGGAGGCAGTTTAACGCGGTACCATACGCCTGTGCTCACACAGCAAAAGGGTAAAGGCTTGGCCGAAGACTTGATCAAACTGGCGGGACCCCTGATTGTGCAGCAAGCTCAAGCGGGACTGCAAGATATTCAACGAGGAAAGAGTGCCGCGGACACGTGGGCCGATCGAAGTGCCCAACTCAGCCGCGGATTGAAACGCAAAGCCCCTGCCATGGCTTGGACGGCTGGCAAACACAAGGTCAAACGGACCGCCCAAAATACCTATAAAAGAGCCACGCAACGCGTACGGGATATCTTTGGACTGTGAAAAATGGTACGTGTAGGAGGCTTTCTGAAAACGCAAAATCGTATTCGACGGCAACGCGCCCGTGGACGGTTCATTTCGCCGTATCAAGTGGGGGGCACGATTTCTGGCAAGTCGACGATGGCGCGCTATCCCCTGATGAATACGACGCATCGGATCAACCCCGAACCCTGGAGGGTGAAGCAGGCCCTGCGCCGTATGAAAGGGGGCACGATTTTTGGCCCGGGGGATCTCAGAAAGGTGTTGTGGGCCAACCAAGCCAAAGCCAGGAAGCAACGTAGGCGAAAGGGTATAAAAAGAGGACGCCGTTGAACATCGTGGACAGACCGCATCATGTCGCTCCAACTGTTTGACGTGCCCGATGTGGATTATCGGTACGAAGCCTCTCGGGAGGTGGAGTTTCAACCCGCCTTGACGGGCATCCAACCCATCACCTTCTCCATTCCAGGCTCCGACGATTATTACGATCCCAATTCTCTTCGATTCAAAGTCAAAGTACGCCTGACCGATCCAGCGGCTGGGTACAATGGGTTGGTGGCCAATTTGGCCAACTCCGATGCCAACAATTCCAGAAACACCTACTGCGTCAACAATTTCGGTCACACCATCTTTCGAGACATTACCCTGAGCATGAATGGAGTCCTCATGACAGAACAGAGCAACACCTACCATTACAGAGCCTACATGGAAACCCTGCTGAATTACAACCGAGAGGAAGGAGCCACCAAGCTAGCCTCGCAAGGATGGGTTAATCAGCTCAATGTGATTGCAGAAATGGGAGCCACAGGAGCCAATTCGGATGTACCCACTGCTGCGAATTGGAGTGGCAATACAGAGTTGCGAGCCCTGACCGGCCGGTTGCTGGGTCAAAATTGGCACACTTTCATCATTCGTCCCCATTTGCCACCCCTCAAGACAGGCAAATTGTTGGTCCCCAATGTCCAGATGGACTTTGAACTCTTCCTCAACCCCAACTCTGTCTACCTGATGGCTACCCCTAACAAAGGCACCTTGAATGCCAAGAAATTTCCAGCCATCCACAATGATGACATCAAAGTCACCTTGCTGATGAGAAAAGTGACCCTGAATGCCAGCGTCTATGTCAGACTGCAGAAAGAAAGACAGCTGGGCAAACAGATTGCCCGCTACCCCGTCGTGCGGAGCGAAATTCGCACGTTTTCCTTCGATGGACGCACCACCCAGTGGGAACAAGACAATGTGTTTGTGGGTCGATTTCCTGATCGAGTGATCGTCGGGTTATTGCATTCCAACACCTTCAATGGAGACCTCACAAGATACCCCTTTGCCTTTGAAAAGTTTGGCGTCACCCAAGTACGACAGACCTTGAATGGAGAAGAATACCCTTACAGAACCCTGCAATTGACTGGAGACCAAGCCTATGAAGATCTGCTGGGCTACGATCGATTTCTACAAGCCATGGGTGCCTACAATGAAGATAAGATTCCCATGCTGCTGCCTAGTGATTGGGGACAAGGCAAGAATTGCACGTTGTTCATGTTCAACAATGTGCCCAGTGGAAAAGCAGATGACCCCCAGTACCGCAACCCCCGTCAATCGGGCAATACGCGACTGGTGATTGATTTCGCCGCTGCAGTGGGTCATAACATTACTATATTGGTATGGAGCGAGTATGAAAACATGTACGAGATCAATCATCTGGGAGGTATAAAGTACGACATCAACGGTTGAGATTACCTCAGAAGACAGAAGACACCGGTCATGGAGTTTGTGGCGCTCAGTGATACCGTGTTGCGGACCCTGGCCTTGGAGGATCCCACCTTACGACGCGTGTTTCATGGGGTGCACCCGGCCGACCAGCTCCCCCGATCCCCCGCCATGAGTGTCCGTCAAGCGTACATTGTCAACACCGATCCAGCGGGAGAACCGGGACAGCATTGGTTGGGTCTATGGACAGAAAAGAACCAGTGCGAGATCTTTGACAGTTATGGTCTACCTCTGCACGTGTACACCAACCCAGAGTTGCACCAATGGTGGGGTCAATGGAAGTACCTGACGCGCAGTGACCAGACCCTGCAAGCCCTGGATAGTCAAACCTGTGGCCATTATGCGTTATTTTTCTTGAAAGCCCGTGCGCAAGGACGGTCGTATCAAGAATTTTTAAGTCAATGGAGTTGCGACAATTTAGTGTTGAATGATCAAAAAGTGGCCGAGCAGTTGAAACAGGTGATCAAACAGGAATTACAAGATGAAGTGGATGCCCGACCCGACGGGGGGCAAAAGAATGTGAGCCGCCAGGCCTTTATCACTTGTCATCACTGTGAGTGTTGAAAATAAAAAACCCATAAAACGAGATGTGTGGTCCAAGAGTGGTCATTGTGTCTCATCATGATTACGCGAGCCGATGTACAGCGTGTCGTGGATGCGTTCATTCTCGAAGAAACCTTGTATTGGTGGTCCAACCCGATCGAGCGGGTCAACACGGTGCAAGGCATCGATGCCTGGGATGGGTATCAATGGTTAATGGCCCGACAATTGGCGCAAGACCAAGATTGGGTCTCCCTCAAGCACTACATGGACAGCATGAGCGAAACGTATTTAAGAGAAACCATGGAAGGTCTGATTCAGTCCGAGTCCCCCCGCTTATACCGCGAATATTGGACGGCATGCCCCATCGCAGACGACGACGACGACGACAGCGCGTCTCCACCCGACGACCCCGCTTTCGCCAAAACGGGCGCGGGATCATGAGCGTGTTGGCCAAAGCCTATAAAATTGGCGACAAATTGGGACGGGACAAACGGTATAAACGCATGGGTGCCAAAGGGGCCACTGGTCATTATCGACGTCACCCTCGACCGTGGGAATCATGATCCGACAACCCAGTAGTGTGATCATCGCGGGCCCGTCGGGCAGTGGCAAGAGCGACTTGGTGGAACAATGGTTACGGTACCTGAACGTCTTTCAAGTCAAACCCCGCAAGATTGTGTATGCTTATGATCGCTGGCAACCCCGATTCGATCGTATGCAAAAAAAAGATGGGATTCAGTTTCATCGCGGATTACCGGACCCCCGTCATTTGACGCAATGGTTTGGTCGGACGCGCGGAGGGGTGTTGGTCTTGGACGACCTGATGGAAGAAGGGGGACAAGACAAGCGCGTGTTGGATTTGTTCACCAAAGATTCGCATCATCGCAACATCACGGTGCTGTATTTGACGCAAGATTTATTCCCGCCTGGCAAATTTTCCAAGACCATCAATCGCAACGCGCATTACATTGTGGCGTTCAAAAACCCCCGGGATCAAACAGGGATACGGACAATTTTATTGCAAGCCTTTCCGGATCGATGGCGTCAAGTCTTGCGCCTATTTAAACGCATCACGTCCCGTCCCTTTGGCTATTTGATGTTGGATGTACATCCTGCGTCGGATGATCGCTACCGCCTGTGGAGTCATTTAACGCCTCGAGAAGGCAAGGCGCAAGTTCACACCTTGCGTGCGGATGTCCCTGCCGTTCGACAACGCACTGCAACGAGAACTCGCCAGGGTCCGCCGGCAAAGAGAAGGCGGACAACATACTGAGTTAGCAGCTCGCATGGACACACACTCGCCCGCGGGGGTGGGTTCCCCTTCGGTTCTCCGAGATCTCAGCAGCATGACGGACATGGTGACCGAATTGTCTCGACCCGTGGATCGTGCCCAATTGGAGCAAGACATTGACGATTTCAATTTGACCTACCCGGTCAATGTAGACGATGCCTTGAATGCGTTCACGCTACCGCCCGTGGCGGGCACTGGCACCGCCCCCGCCACCACGGCACCACCACCACCCACCATCACCACCACAGCCCCCATCACCACCACGTTCACCCGAACACGCCCCACGACCGGTCGACCGCGACCCGCCACCACCGCCACGACCACCACAGCGCCTTCCCGCCCCTCCACCAGCCGCCGCAGCGCAGGGGCAGGGACCAGGACCACCACCTCGACAGTGACCACCCCCACTGGACGCCCCACCATCGCCGCCAAACAACCGCGACGGCGCCCCAGGTGCCCTCCCCACCGTCCCCCGATTCGTCCCCCCCGTCCGAGGACGAGGACGAGGATGGCGATGACGATGACGATCGACGACGGGGATTAAGGCGACGGTTGGATTTGCTCAATGAAGATGCTCAAGAACGGGCTCGAGGTAGACGGATTCGCAATATCACGCACACCAACACAGTCACCACGGTCTACGAAGAGGGTGGTCGTCCCTCGGTGCGCCGCACGTCCACCCGAACCTCCAGTCCAAGTCCACCCAGACCACCACGTCGAGGACGGGGCCGTGGCCGTGGCCGTGGACGAGCACGTGGACGGGGCCGACGATGAAAAAAAGATATAAAAACAGTGTCGTTCCTCGAATCGTCCTAGTACCATGTGTGGCCAATGTCGAAGCGCAAAGTGTGGCACATGTCGAGGTGCCAAACGCAAACGCACCATGACCCGACGACGACCACGTCGACGTAGGATGAAGGGTGGGACTATGCCGTACGTCGTGGATGTCAAAAAAGGCTTCAAGTTGTTGACAGACCCAGCTATGTGGAAGATTCCTTCCAAAGCCGACGTAAAGGCCGACAAACAACGGGTGGCCAACTATAAACGCCAGTATCGCGCTAGTGG